TTTTTTTTTTTTGGAGACATGAGTGTCACTATGTCATCCTTGGAGTGCTGTCGCAGCACAGCTCACAGCAACCTCAATCGCTTAAGTGATTCTCTTGCCTCAGCCTCCCAAGTAACTGGGACTACAGGCACCCACCACAACATCCAGCTATTTTGTTGCTGCAGTTGCCATTGTTGCTTAGCTGGCCCAGGCTGGGTTCGAACCTGCTGGCCTTAGTGTATGTGGCTGGCACCATTACCACTGTGCTACAGGTGCTGAGTCATGTTTTTCTTGTATAAAACTTCAATGCATAAATCTGTGATTTATTTTATCCATTTCCCTGTTGGGGACATTTGGGTTGTTTCAGCTTCCCAAGTAGCTAGCTCTACAGCTAGGGTCCTCAAACTTTTTAAACAGGGGGCCAGTTCATTGTCCCTCAGACTGTTGGAGGGCTGGACTGTGGGCCCTGGGATGAGTCGGCTGCTAAGCAGGACAGGCAGCGGTGGCAAAAACATCCGGCAGGCGAATAAATATCCTATGCAGGTTACATGTGGCCCGCGGGCCATAGTTTGAGGACACCTGGTCTACAAGTCTACATTTTTTAATGTTTTATAAGCAATGAGCTGTGGCCCTCCAGTTACTATGAACTTTCTTGTACGTGTCTCATACTATATGTATGAATTTCTCTAGGAGGGGAACTGTTGAGTCAAAGGGTATGCATGCCTCCAAGTTTACTAGATAATGCTACTGTTTTCCAAAGTGCTTGTACCAATTTATACTCTCAACCACAGTGTTTAATAAGAGTTCTTGATGCTCTCCATGAACTCTACTATCTGAGTGCAGAGTGGTACTTCACCAGTTTTAATTTGCATTTCCCTAATGACTGAGGTGGCTGAATATTTTCTTATTTGGTCATTTGGATATCCTCTGTGGGGCATTCTTTCACTCATTTTTCTTTTTTATTTGAGACAGAGTCTCACTATGCCTCATTCTTTGTAGGTACTACAGCATCTCAGCTCATAGCAACCTCAAACTCTTAAGCTTAAGTGATTCTCTTGTTTCAGCCTCCCAAGTAGGTGGGACTACAGGCGCCTGCCACAATGCCCAGCTATTTTTTTGTTGTTGTTGTAGTTGTGATTTAGCAGTCTTGGTCTGGGTTTGAACCCACCAGCCCCAGTGTATGTGGCTGGTGCCCTAACCACTGAGCAATAGGCACCTAGTTTTTTTTTTTTTTTTTTTTTTGAGACAGGAGCCTCAAGCTGTCCCCCTGGGTAGAGTGCCGTGGCATCTCAGCTCACAGCAACCTCCAACTCCTGGGCTCAAGCGAGTCTTCTGCCTCCGCCTCCCAAGTAGCTGGGACTACAGGCACCCGCCACAACGCCCGGCTATTTTTTGGTTGCAGCTATCATTATTGTTTGGCGGGCCTGGGCTGGATTCGAACTCGCCACCTTGGGTGTAGTGGCTGGCGCCTTAGCCTTTTTTTTTCTTGAGATAGAGTCTCATCTCACTTTGTCACGCTCAGTAAGAGTACCATGGTGTTACAGCTCAGAGCCACCTCAAACTCTTGGGCTTAAGCGATTCTCTTGCCTCAGCCTCCTAAGTAACTGGGACTATAGGCACTGGCCACAACATCTGGCTATTTTTAGAGATGAAGTCTTGCTCTGGCTCAGGCTGGTCTCAAACCTGTGAGCAATCTAACGGCCTTGGCCTCCCAGAGTGCTAGGAATACTCTTTTTTGCTATCACACTGTCCATGAGATGCAATTTTTCACTTATCAATTAAGCAGCAATACGAAAGTTTGAAAACAGTTGTGAGAAGAAAATAGGGAAGCACACATTCTCACTGTTAATAAGAGAATAAACTGGCCAAAACTCTTCTTCACAAATTTAAATGCCCATACTTTAAACCCAGTAATTCTAGAAGAAGGAATACATGTATCTCTACTTGGAAATATTTACGAAGAACTTCAAAAGAATGGTCATGGCAGATTTGTAACAGCAAAATTAGAAATAACTTAGAAATCCATCAGTAGGAGAGAGGGTAATTATCTATACCTAATCCTATAATAAAATTCTGCTCAACTGTGGAAAAGAAATTCGGTAGAACTCTACCTGCTGCTACAAGCTACAGTAGAGCAAAAGGAAAAGATCAATGTGCAAAAGTAAAAGATCAATGTGTTGCACAGTTATGAACTGTATCTTTCTACAAATATAAACAACTGGGAGCATATACAGTTATAAACTTGTAAGTTTTTAGATCATCTTGCTAAGTAAACATAGGAAACAAGGGCGCCTCCAGGAGAAACAGGGCTCACAGAGTATATATGTATCTGTGAATTCTTTTACTTTGTGCATGTAATATTAACATGGATCCAAATTCAAACATTTCAACCGGCTACAGAGTAAAAAGTCTTTTTGACCTGTCTGCAAGCCATTCACAGTTACTTCCTCTACAAGACAACTGATGTTACTAGTTTCCTGCGCCTCCTTCCAGACACCACCTAATGTTTTACTTTTTCACTCAAAATAAGTAGTTTAGGATACAATTTAACATAGATTAAATTAACAGTGGCCATACATGAATGATTGGCCCCTGAAACTTACTCATCATCTTCCTCCTCTCGCTTGTGTTTCTTTTTACAGTGAATGGATACACTGTTGAAACAAACAAAAAAACCCCCCAGTCAATTGGGAAATTTGAGACTCCCTGTAAGCTCGCTCACCCCCACATACCAAATGTCCCTCTCCTCGCCGAGAGGGATGGATACAGGTCACAGGGTCAGTGAGGTAATGTTGAGTGTCCCGACGAACCAGACACTGAAATCTAAACCTGCCATTGTCAAGTGAAGGGGAGACAGACCTGGGAGGACCAACGTGGGGAAGCCGCACTCGTGCAGGCGCTTTATTTCCACGCTCTCACTAGGACCCATGTCTGTCCCTCACTTTGTGGAAGAGGAAACTCACTGTCCGAGAAGCACTTAAAGTTGTCACCATCGGCGGCTGCGCCGG